CTAAATGGTCAAAAGCTGAAAGGAAAAATGTAACAAAAGTTGGATAAAGCAGCAGCAGGGGGTAGGGAGGGGGTAGGGAGTGCTGCAAGGGAAACCCTATACGAGTACAGAGTCTTGGGAATTTTTTATTTTTTTTTTTTATTTGTACGCTGCATTTCCGGTTGGTTTAATTTCAGTTCTTCAATACCCAGTACACTGCAGCACACCAGGCAGGGTATATTGGGATTTCATTTGAGAAACATATATATATATAATATATAGTATAAATATTTCCCAATACAATTTCTAGCACTAAAGCGAAGAACATTTATTTTATATTATTTTAATGGGCATATAAATATATTCATTGCACATAATTTTTGCTCCCTCGGATGACTCAATCATGGGGGAACGCAATGGGGGCTTTGGGTACTGGTACAGAGGGTAGGGAGTAGGGGGCTCGCGGCAGGCACTCCAGTTAATGTTTCCATAGAATTGTGATTATGATCTCCATTTAATGGTTCTTTTGTCTTGATGACTCTGCCAAAAATGGTGCTAAAACAGACGTCAAAATGTTTGAAAATTGAAAGTGTTTCCAGCGGTCCCAGAAGTGTGGGTGCCAAAAAAAAAACAAACAACAACAACAACAAAACGAAGTAATTATCCAACAGATTTGACATTGAAAATGCTTGAAAAATGCTCTCGGAGATTTGGAAAGCAAATGAATCATTTTGAGCAATGGGATCCTCGGATGTACAAACATACATATGTATGTACTTTACTTATGTACACATTGCATAAATGACAAGTTGGTTGCTCAAGTCTTTTGTGGGTTGTGTTGTGTTGTCTTATATCTGGTGACAACATTTCGCTTCAAGTCAACAACAATTTAGCATTTAGCCGGCCCTAACAGTCGCCCGTCTGTTTGCTCATTTGTTTGCCACTTGATCTATTTTTAGGCTTAAAGCTCCCTCGAGTCGAGTCTCTTGAGTATTGACATACAAATTTTTCGAGCTCATCGAGCAGCCATAATGGATTTTTATTTAGATATTTACTTTGCCAAAAAACAAAAAAAAAAATCAACGAAAAACCATGAGCCCTGAGCCGTGAGCCGCCACAAAAGGCAAATACGGAAGATTGTTCTATACGCGAACGGATCTCGTTGGATTCTTTTAATTAGGCACCATATTTGTCGATGATTTTCGACGATGATTTTGGATGATGATGAGCAATCAGAGTGAACAGCAGCCGCAGCAGCAGCAGCAGCAGCAGCAACAGCAACAGCAGGTTTATCAGTCTTCGAGGCAAAGTGATTGGCAAACAGCAATCAGAAGGAAACTCTAGCCCTCACCTTTACGTATAGCACTGCAAATACACTGCAAAGTCTGAGCCATTAGATGGTTAGATCTCTCCCGACTGGAGTGGAGCGCTGGCAATTAGCGGCTTTTGTTTGCTAAATTAAGCGGCAAATGGCAAAACACACCACCGATTAAGTGACAAATCAATGGGCTGCTTCTTAATTGCGTCATTGAGAGGCCCAGCAGTTGGCCCACAAAATGGTTAAGAAAGCCTTGGCTATCGGGTGGGGGGGCCTTGACCATGAGATATTGATGGGTTTACATTACACGGTGAAGGAGCATTATTGTACGAATGTAACAGAGTTTCAGGGTTTCAGAGTTTTAGGGTTGTTTCCATAGAGATATTAAGAGATACAAAGTGACAGATAGCTGTAGAAGAATGAATAAAAATGAAGTATAAAGAATCAAACTGATGCTACTCTATTCCTATATTTACATATGCCTAGAGCTTCTTTTTAGATTACCATCTCAAGATTTACCTTACCATTTATCGCGCTTCTAAATATATTTCCTTCAATTTTTTTTTATACTCCTCCGCATATGGAAAACTAATTTGTGAATATAAAAAAAATCACACAAAAATTCCCATAATATGCATAAAGCGGAAGCATCAAACAGCGCAGCTCCGTGTCTCCGCCTGCCCAAGCAAAAAAAAAACATATAAGAAAAATAACTTTCGCACAACAAAAAGCCACAAAATCATCTGTCGACCAACACCTTAGCGAAAAGTAACAAAAAAAAAATAAAAATAGCCATCATTCATTCATTTTATACAATAAAACAAAAAAAAAACACTTTCAAATGCTCGCATCGCGAACACCTACACCTCATACACACACAACACACAGCATCCATCCCCATCCCCATCCACATCCTCCATCCATATTCCCATCCAAGTAATGTCTCATGAAAACCAAAAGTGTGCAAAGAAATGACACATTGTAAAACACACAAAAACCCACCCAAAAGACGAAAAAAAAGTACCAAAAACTATGTAAATAAATTTTGCCAAAGCGAAATAAAAAACTTTTACTTTTATTGTTCGTCAGCCTGGAGCTGGGCTCGCTCATGTTACTGTCGAAGCGAAAATATTTTTGCGCATCATGCAATTTGATTTGCAACAAAGATGTGAGTTGTGTTGTGTGTGTGTCTCAAATGCGATTTCAATCACACACCACAGAGAGATAGACAGAGTGAGAGAGAGTTACAATACAAAAAAAAAAAAAGGCAGTAGTAAAAATCACAAAAATAACATGAATATCGGACGTCAGCAAAACACCAAAATTAACACCAGCAAAATCCCTCAGAAAATCTCCATATCACCAGGCCCCCAGAATGTTTTACAAATATGACATCAATCACAGCCAACAACATTCCTACGTGGAAGAAACAAATCAAGAGTCTTGCTGGGATTGCGCAAGAGGGGAAGAGATAGAAAGAGTGTGAGAGAGAGATAGAGAGCAGTAGTTTGCTCTCTTTATTTATCGCAGTCAATATTGACATCAACAGCTACAGGAACTGAAATAGCATCAAAGTTAACAACTTAATTGACACTATTAATCAGTAGACAAGTTCCAAGAAGCATCAACAATCATTACGAGTACAATACAACAATAGTTATCATAGCTTGAATAATCTGAATCTTAATTTAATCGGTAAGTTGAACTTACACACAATTGTAGCAACAAAATTCAAATAATCTTCAAATACTGTCAATCAGAATATTTGAATCCCACAAAAATAAACCATCCCCAAGTGCATTGACCTGATCAAGTTCGTTGCCTAAGTCTTTTGATTGGCTTTCCATATATTCGGAATTTTTTTATTTCATAATTTCCATTGCACTGCCACTGTTTTTCTCTCATTTCTGAATCACTTTGCATGTTTTCTACTCCTTGATTGAAATGTTTGCAATTTTTTTTGGGCAACAGGGGGGCGGGTTCTCTTGGTGATTGAGGCATAGAGTGGCGGCGGCATTGCATTGCGGCATTAAGGTGGGCGGTTTTTAGTCAAAGTAAAAGGCTTTTAATAAACATATTTGCGTGTGCTTATGCAATGAAAACATTAAATGAAACTGAAACTGTTTGGCATTTCTACATCAAAAGCCGATTAAATATACGATATAGAAATTTGAAAGTAAAATTTGAAATATTTCCTTCTACTCGTATTTTGCAAAGTGTTTGGGAGGAAACGATTCATCAAAATGGAAAGAAAATACATCGGATATAATATCAATTTAATATATATTTAATATGCCAATTTATAGCATATTACAGGTCTCGACAGAACTATTTAATATATTTCTTTTAAAAACTCTTGAAAAAGTGATACACAGTTACAGGGAATAATGCATCTAGATACGAAATATTCCCGCATATTCCATTAATTAAATTAACCATTTATCTACTTATGTTTACTGATTCATCAGCCCTATCTATGATGTCTAACTCCAATTATCATCTACTTATAAATAATTTTCGTATATTAATTATCCATAACTTAAATGCTGTTTAATAATATAAATTTGTGCTTTGAAATATAGATTTATGTATATGTATATTTATCCAAAAATTACCTCATTGATTCCCTCATTCCATTACCTCATTTCTTTGGTTAAGCAAATATGTGTATATAGCATCTCTATCCCAACACAAAGAGCTGCAACCTTAAACGATTGCAGTCAGAGCCCATTAAATATTTCAGGCACACATTTCGCAGGCAGAAATTGTAGCGCAAGTCCCTCTTAAAAAATAAAATAAAATAAAATAAAACCCAACCCTAAACAAATTTGGGCTAAAACCTTAAAATGTCTTTTGGAAAATGTTATGCGCAAAATTGGCAAACTTTATGTGCCTGAAATTAGGTGAGCAATTTGCGTTTAATTTGGGGTCACACAAACACACACACACATCGAGCAGAGACGTAGACGCAGTCCCCGGGGCAATGTTGCACGTAGGTTATGTAAAAGACGGTGCCCGGGCGCCCTCTCGACACACGCTGCCGAAGGGACAAAGCGACAGAGCCGCAACGATGGACAGACAGAGGGTAATCAATGTAAAGCAGTTTTCGAAGGCATTTTAATTGCCACAGCAGCAGCATCTGTGGATGGAGAGGAACTACTTGCAACACTGCAACCTGCCCCGCGGCCAAGCCAAATGACACATGCGCCGCCGCCGCCGCGGCGTCTCTGCTGGCCCAGGTATCTCTCCTGCTCTCACTCGCCGATGCCCAAGTTTTTCTCCGCAGAGAGGCCCCAGCCACAGCCAGAGCCCGCGCTTGTTCGCGATGCTTTTGACTGCTGAAAAGACTTTCACTCTGGCGGCGGCGGCATGGAGTGGAATGCCGCAAAAGATGAAATGGCTATTGACTTCATTTGTGGCCAAAAATAAAGCTGAACCATTAACTAATTAGCTTACATTTTGAGCGATTTATTGAGAGAGCTCAGCGCTCTAACCAGAAAGTATTTCAATCAAATGGAAATTGGTAAGCAAATTCAAACCATTCCAATTAATATTTAAAAATTTCTTTTGGTTGTGCTTAATTTGTTCTTCCACTAAAGAAGTTTCGAGACAAAGGAACAGTCCTGAAAGCCAAACGTGTTTATGGGGAAACGCTGTGCAGTTCGTTCCAGAATCTTCTGTGGATTATTGTTCTAGCACTCACCTTCTGGCCTGTCGTGGTATCGACTGTGTCCAGCACACGGGCGCCTTGTGCAGCTGATGCATATTCCTGGATGACTTGTAGGTTAGATCGCCGCACTCCGTCTGCCACACCTGCAGATTACCCTCCGCCGGATAGAATGTGTACAGGCTGTGGGTGGCCGAGGCAATCACCGGGGAGGAACCGCCTCCGTCCACCACATCGACGCCAGCCGCCACCAAAGGTGATAATGTGGCACTGGAGATGGGCTGGACGAGGAGAGCCTGTCCGGCCGCTGTTCCCGGGGAGCTGCCTCCGGCCGGGCTCTTGTAGTTGAGCATTCTGGTCGGTACCGGTCCTCCATTGGGGCTGGAGCAGCTGCTCACATTCCCGTTGCCGTCGTGCTTGAGGATCAGGCTGCTGGGATCGTAGCCATGGCGATGTCTGGCAATGGCATCCACCGAATGGGAGCGCAGTCCGGATCGTGCTGGATTATGGGCTGCCAAATGGAGGCGACGTCCGCGACGAAATCCGCTCGTGACGGACACAGCTCCGGCAGAGCCCTGGCCCACACCGACTCCGCCCGAACCGGAGCTGGGTCCTCCGTGGGTCATGCGATGATTGTGGACACTGGAGGCGGCACTGGGCACGAGGGGCTGTCGCTGCTTCTGGTACTGCAGCCGTGGCTGGTGCGGCAGTGTCTGCTGCTGCTGCTGTTGCTGCTGCTGCTGCTGCTGCTGGACAATGATCTGTCGTGCCTTGGCCATGCCCACCTGCTGGCTATTCTGCTGATCCTTGAAGTATTCGCGTCGCTGCAGCTGGGGTGCGGCCAGAGAGAGGGCTCCCCTGGCCGAGTTGCTGCCTGATGTGGTGGTTGCTCCTCCACTGCTGTTCCCCGTTGCTAGTGCTGGCTTCTCCGCGCCAGTGGAGGAGGCGCCGCCAGTGGCCGCCGAACTGAGTTGCGCCAACTTGCTGGCATTGTTATGGTTACTGCTGCTGCTGCTGCTGCTGGCGGCACTGCCACTGGCAGTTCCACTTGTCTGATGCTCTGAATCGGTGGAAACCCGATCCGGATCACTTTCGAAACCTTCGTCCAGGGATCGTGTTGGACTCAGTATGGGCTTCGAATGGTGCTGCTGGTGTTCCAGTTTCGCGCTAGACGTGGACGTGGATGATGTTGACGACGACATGGTGCTCTGCTGCTCTGCTGCTCTGTCCACTTGTCCAAGTACTATATGGGGGGTTTGGTTTTTGTTTTTGTTATTGTTTTTTCTGTGCTGTGCTTACGTCGGAGTATTGGATATCTATTGTATCGTTACACTTGGCTTGGCCCTACGACTGCTACGGCCTGAACTACTTCTCTTTGCCTCACTGCTGGTATCGCTGTATCTGTATCGCTCCCTTTCTTTTGAAGCGGTAAATACTCGTCTGTATGTATGTAAAAAAATGCACAATGCCGCCTGCTGCTACTGCTGCTGCCGTTCTTTTGCAGTTTTGCTTCACACGCCACTTTTTCTTTTAATTTTCCATGCACTTTTTTCCATCTAATTTATTTTTTTTATTTTTGCGCCGCTTCTGCTTTTCTTCTTCTTTTTATTTCTCTGATTATTTTTTTTCTTTTTGTTAGTACATTTTTTCACTTCAACTTCGATTGTTGTCTGCGGCCGCAAAAGTCGCGCCAAAGTTGCAGTTGTGTTGCAGTTGCAATGGGAAAGCTCGGCTACTCTCGACTGGATCGGATCGAATCGGAATCGGAATCGAAATCGGATCGCTCGGTACACTCACGTCTGCCTCGCACGAATGTTTTTTTCAAACTGAGCTTCAAGCTGCCCGCCAACTGTTGTCGAAGCGGCCAGCTAGCGGCGGCCAGATAGCGGTGCGTCAGACGGAAAGCTTCTCTCACCACTTTGGCACTTGTTACGCTCGCTTCGTTTCGGCTCAGTTGATGCACCTGCTGTCAGTGCTCCGAGAGAGAGAAACGTAGTGAGAGAGATAAAGAGAGCGGCAGCGTTCGCACAGCTGTTCGCGAAACTTCCAAGAGAGAGTCGAGAGTGGAGGTGGGTGGGTGGAGTGCATAGTTGAAACAGGAACATATCAACAGAGGGAAACCTTGACATCTATGCAATGCGGTTGTTGTTGACATTATGAGATGTAGGGTAATTAATAGAGGGAAGTGGAACTGCGTGTTATAGTTAGATATTTGAATGAACACGGAAGAAAGAACACTTCATATTGTTCTGGAGCGTTTAAAGTTTAAACTGAAAAGCTGATGAAAGTTAAAACATTCTGCATTCGGCTGATTTCCGCCCGGGAAGGGTAGGGTGTCGTCCCACCAAAAAATAAATTATAATACTAGAATTAAACATCGCCACGGCTTGGTTTTTATTTTGTTGAACAAAATGAAGTATTTAAGTGTCACTGTCACAACTTTTCTAGAAGCGACTGTAAAATGTCGACTTCGTGCTTTGGCTCTCATCACTTTGCTCTCTCTCTCTCTAGCTCATTGCTTTTCTCGCGCTCGTGAAAATTTCATCAATGAATTTACAAACTGCAATAGCAACAACAATAACCGGCATGGCACAAGACCCGTAACAACAAAACAAAACAACAGTTTGAAAAGCTCGCTCAGAGAGTGAAGTTACCCACTAGACTAGGTGAGAGAGCAGAGGTGATCGGAGCTTTTGGCACCTGCTGCACAACAACTGAGAGTGGGAGCCACAGAGGAAGCCTAGCCTAGCTCCTCTGGCCTCTGGCCTAGCCTCTGCTCCTCGGCGGTCGCTGCTTTCTCACTTCACTTCTCTCTTTTCCTTTTGTTTTCTGCCGATGCCGCTGCCTCTGCCGCTGGCTCTGTCGCGGTCGCTGCCTTTGCCCGCTGCTGCTGTTGCAATTTGTTGGCAGGCGGCCCCATCGATGTTGAAGTGGAATGCCCTTACTTTGATTGATTTCCGGGTGCAGCAGCAGCAGCAGGAGCAGCAGCAGCAGCAGAAGCCGGAGGTTTCATTTTTCACACTTGGCTTAGGAAAGCAGCAGCGAGAGGGGTAAAAGTGATCGAGGCCATGGAGAAATTCAAGGTGCAGGGAACCTTAGAAGCAACGCGCGTTGGGTGCTGAAATTTCAACACCATCGTTCCTATGGCTGTTATATGTATATAAAATAGAAAATCTTAAATGACGGACAAGGGACAGAGGGACACATCAAACTCTCAGTTTCAGTAGGTTTATTTTTGAGTGAATAATCTTGAACCTTATATGGTAGAGTACTTATACAAAGTACATGCATATCCATGGACTATTGGACATACGTATGTACATAGCCATATCCAACTGATTAGCTATTATTTATCGATTCCACCGAATATCCAATACCAATACGATTACCTACATATATTCTTTTTTCGGCACAAAAGCTTTGCTTTCGTCGTGATCTTGCTCTTGCTTTTGTTCGAAGCTTCCGATAAACTCTAAACGAAACGTAATTGCCGCTATTGTTGATACCCTTGCAAAGGGTATACTAATTTTGGACCAGAGACTTTCAACCCTAACAAGAGCAGTCCTTATTCTTTGTCAGCTTTAACAATAACATAATCAATGATCAGTTTAAATCAAATATTAATTCCCAAATTGTAGTTGGGGATGGGATTGGCACTGTCATAATGCTTGCCACACACAAGAGTATCCACTGCTTCGAGGCATTTCTTTCTTGTTGCTATTCTGGAGGTTAATCCATTGATTTTCGCTTTTCACTTTATGCTCCCATTTACCAAATTATTCACTCGACAGCTGGCACGGGCATTGCACTGTGGTGTAGTGGTGGAGGTAGAGAGGTAGAGGTAGAGGTGGGGCTAGTCTCTATGATACTCGTACTCGTAGTTTCGGTTGTTGCTGTTATAGTTATAACTGCAATTTAATTATATGAATTTTATAGTTTGAACACCATAAAAATGTTGGTCTTAATTGTGTTTTTGCTCTGGCTATGACTCTGATCCCGTGCCCGTGCCCGTGTCCGTGTCCGTCTCCCCGTGCCTTGTTATCGGTTTACGTGACGGTATTTTGATTTTTATTATTAGATCGCCCGACGAGTACGAATGACCCAAGCATTTGGATTGCTCCTCTGGCCTAGCCTGCCCTGCCCTGCCCTGGCCTGGGCTGCTATTTCCATTACAGTTATGGTTAGGCAACAAGCTTCAATTCCACAACACTCCATAAAGCATCGGCTTACGTGTGGCATGGTGGCATGGTGGCATAGTGGGTGTTGTTTGCGGTTGGCTTGTGGCGAGTTCATTGGGGTTCAAGATCCAGTGCACAGAGCAGGCCATAAACTTGTTGTAGAGTCAACAGCAACGCAACATCGCGAACTAGGAAGGCCATCAATCAATTAAAATGCAGTTAGAGCTGTTCCCTGGGACGCAACGGCAACAAAAGTGGAAGTGTAATTATGCAGTGCTCACATTTCAAAAGGTTTCCATTTGGCCCTGGCCTTAGCGCAAATTCCAGCAAGGTTTTCCTTCCAGATCAGGTAAATATTATTTCCGATTTGCAGGTCTAAAGGTAGCTAGGGAAGATCCAGCAGATCCAGCATCGGTACTGCGTGTTCTCCCACGATACCCGCATCCAAACTTATTGCCGTTGACTCCTCGATCATCTCTGTTCAGTGATCGGCAGCCTTCCCGCGGTATATTTACCAGCCCAGGCTCCCTCTCTATCCACCCATCGCATCGCATCGATCCAGCCACCCATACATCAATTGATGGCAATAAACAACCGTAAAATGTTTACGGCCAGCCCGAGAAAAACCCACAAAACTCTGTCTCCCGAGCCCAGACGATGCAAGGCGACAACAGTGGGCACAGGGCACAGGGTACGGGGTACGGGGCACCAGTTTAATTACAACTTTACCAGTTATGACAGACGTCGGCTATACGGTCTTCGCTCTCCCGATGCACTCTCAGATGCACACCGCCTAAGCACACAGAAGCAGCAGCAAAACGCCACAGCGGCAGCAACATATGTCACATAATTTCCACAATTAAAACATAAATTGAAGCACTGCCGCAGTCAGCTGACTGTTGCTTGGCGCTGAGGTGGTGGGGGGAACGGCATGAGGAGGGGGGCAGACAAGCAGGTGCAACAGGCCCGGCCCAGTAGCTGAGGCACACGCATGCGTAAAACGGTTGTCGTTGTTGCTGGCTTGCTGGTTCGCTGCTGCAACGACAACAACGGCAGCAACATGCATGAAATTTTTCGTCGAATCTAGCCAGGAATTTTGTGTGGGCCAGTGGCTTCGACGGGGGAGTACCCTGGGAGGCAGGAGAATTGAGAATTCGTAATGAAAATTCTTTGATTGAATAAATAAATAAATAAAATAAATAAGCGAAAAGATAATTTTGCAGCTATATCCTCTCGAAGAACCTCTCGAAGTACCCTCGAAGGAAAGGTCTATTTAGAATATATTTGACATACGAATATACGAATATTCCCCGCCTGCAGCAGGGTATACTGTGGCAACTGTTACGGGGTATACCCAGAGCAGGGACATGTTCTGCAGCCGGTTCGGCGAGCGACAACGATAACAGCTACACAACAGCAGCACTGTGGAGCGAGGGGCAGAGCCGGAGAAAACTGTGGAAGAGTCAGGCAACAACAAGGCGTGAATGCCGTAAGCTTATTGAGGAGCAGCAGCAGCAGCAGCACAAGCCAGAAAGAAGTGAAGATCGGAGACCGTAGACCGAGGCAGCAAACGCAACTTGGAGGCTGACTACATCATTACCGTTTTGGCCATGGGCCGCTTGCCATTGTAATTGATGTTGTATTAGAACATCATTTACGCAATTGCCACAGTTACTTGTAGTTGTAGTTGTAGTTGTAGTTGCAGTTGTTGTTGTTGCTGGGGATGGATAGATGGGTAGGGGTAGGGGTAGGGTAGGGGGAAATGGTGAATGGGGATTTGGAAGTAGTTTGGTTCTTGGTATTGATATTGGTATTGGTATTCCCGTAGCTGATGTTGCTGCTCCTGTTTTTATTGCCAAGTATGTAGTACCGAGTACATAAACAGTAGGATGGATGGGCATAGTGTGATGTATTTAATTATGCACAAGTTTTACTGGCTAGCGCTTTTATTAACTAGTTTTGCATTGATAGCGGGCACTGGCAATCATTTTCCATATATAAAACATATGTATCGGATGTGGGATATGATTGCACTTGCCA